CTCAGGAACTGCAAGGCACTAAGCAACTCAGTAAGACCCCATCTCTAAATAAAATACAAAATAGGGCTGGAGATGTGGCTCAGTGGTTGAATGCCCCTGAGTTCAATCCCTGGTACAAATAACAACAACAAAATGATGTAAAATAGGCATTGAAAAAGTACAAAAACCATTGGTCAAAATCTATTTAGAACAGACATTGAAAATAGCACCAAGGCTCTGGAACAAAGGAGCTGTTTCCACAGGTGAGCATCATTTTTTTTTTTTTTTTTAATATTTGAAGAAGGCCTTAATGATGTCCATTAATCCCTTTATCAGTTAGCTTCCTGTAGTGGTTGAATGACGCCCATTATCCTGACAGCCTGATCATTCTACTATCTATTCTATTCTCATTCAATACTAATGCTGTTCTTCCAGGAATCACACTGGCAAGAACTACTTCCCAGTGGCTTGTCTTGGAGGCACAGGACTGAGGGACATGTTTCATTTATTCATCACTTTGAGGACAGATGGTCAGCCCTGAGAAGTAGTAATTAGGTTTTCATCTGACATCAAGAGAAGGGTCAAGCGTCAACAAAGAAATTTATTCCAGAATAAATCTAAAAGAAAATAAAGCTTTATGTGTTTTTTAAAAATATTTATTTTTTAGTTTTCGGCGGACACAACATCTTTGTTGGTATGTGGTGCTGAGGATCGAACCCGGGCCGCACGCATGCCAGGCGAGCGCGCTACCGCTTGAGCCACATCCCCAGCCCCAAAGCTTTATGTTTTAACACAGAGGTAGCCACAGTTTCCCAATAGTAGATGACCATCTTCAAGACAATGATATACAGACCTTGGGAGCTTGTTTTCTAGAACTATGTTGATGCCAAAAGCATTCTCCTTAGGGTCCAGGTATTGGCTGAGACTCCAGTACAAGTGCAGTGCCTCTGAAGCTTCTCTTCAAGTCTGTTCCTTTTGTCATAGATCTTCCCTAATGTTCTAGTTGTGTGCTAGTTTTAGTAAAAATAAAACTGGGCTGCTCAAATTTATAGAATGAATTCCATTTGGCATCAGTCATAATTATCAATTCATCTATTCAGTCAAATATCTATCTAGTGGTTATTGTCTGTCAATGTCTTAGGTGTTGGGGATACAGCAGTGAAGTCACTATCCTCATGGTGTTTCAGTCAAAGCAGGAGAGACAGAAAACAGATTGAATGTATATTAAGTATTGAATAAGAATAGTGAATGGGGGCTGGGGATGTGGCTCAAGCGGTAGCGCGCTCGCCTGGCATGCGTGCGGCCCGGGTTCGATCCTCAGCACCACATACAAACAAAGATGTTGTGTCCGCCAATAACTAAAAAAATAAATATTAAAATTCTCTCTCTTTAAAAAAATAAAATAAATAAAAAAAGAATAGTGAATGGTCAGCAATAAGAAGTGCTGGGTCCAGATTGAGGATTTCTTCAAATGCAGAAACCACACTGTGAGCCTAAGCAGTAGAAATGTTAATGAACACCTTCAAGGCCTATTTCAAATGTAAAAGATCTTGAGGCTCACCTGTGGGAAAACTCCTGCCAACTCCTTTGTCCCAGATGGGAGGGGGAAGAACCCAGAGGGGAATTACAGGAAGGAGTAAACCTCAGGCTAAAGGACACAATTGAATCTTGAAACTTTTTCAATGACTGTTTAACATAGATTTTGCTCCAAGCTCTTCCCAAAACAATATAGCCCCTAAGCCAGCACACCAAAAAGGGTTTTTCTGCTATCAGCCCCCTCCTGCTCTTCTTTAAATAAATCCTACTCACTTTACTCTTCCCTTCTGTTATTGTCCACTGATTTTATTCTTCAAATTTGGGAGACAAGACCCCAGAAGAAAATTGGCAAAACTATGAATCTAGTCTCATCTCAAAACTCTGGTTTCAGTATGGGGAGAATTGTGCTGGATTGCTGCTCAAGTTGCTTTTATTTAAGGTGTTAGGAAAATCCTTTCTAAGGAGGTGACATTTCATCAGTGACCAGCCAGAAGGAAGAGATCCATACCTGACACTCCCTGAGGCTTAAGGCAAACTTTAAAGAAAGATGGGTGGTTACTCACTTTTGTATACTGATGTGCATTAAACCATGTTTATAATTGGGCATACTTATGGCCCACTTCTAGGAATTATCTTAAGGACAAACCAGAAATGTGAGCAAAAAGATTCATGCCCAAAGATGTTCATGGCAGATTTACTTATAAAAGAAAAAAAAATCAAAATTATTGAAAAATGCCCTTTCTTCCTTCCTGAACCTTTCCACCCTCATGGCTCCACTGGGCACCTCCCCCCTCCGATTCCAAAGCCTTAAAAAACTTCTCTGTGATCATGTTTTCATTTACAAAGACTTGCCTGTTTACTCAACTACTTCTCCCTTCTTGGCTCTGAGCTCGGAGAGCAAGCCTACCTTGCTATGAAGCATTCAGTACCTATCATGCATTTGGCCCATCATAAGAACTCTATACCTAAAAAAAGAACTCTATACATGTTTGATCAAAGATTGGCTTAATATCATCTGACATATCTATAGGTGGAATACTATATAGCCATCAGAAATCTTATTACTGAAAAAGGACAATGAGAAGCTAATATCAAGCATAAAAATAAAACTTTATATACCGAATGACCTTGATTATTAGAGACCCAAACAATTAAAGGCAGTTTCTGACTGATATTGGGATCATTCCTGCCTTCTCTTTATATTTTCTGTTTTGTACTTTGGGCACAATATAATAGTAGCTTCACAATCAGAAAAAATTGAACAAGTGACTGTGTTCTACATTTGAACTTACTGTATTCATCACTCTGGTCAACTAGATGTTTTTAAAAGATGAGAGATTCATTGGTAAGGCTCTTGTTAATAGGCCCATCCTCAGCAATGTGAGGTGTCTGCTATTGACATGAAAGTTGTCACTCTGTTTTGTCTTATCATTCCATCCCAGATTCTCAACACTAGATATATTGCTATGAGAGTAGGTAAAATCTACCTCCAGGCCTGAAGCTCCCTTTGATATGGCTCCCTCTTTCAATCCAGGTCCTTCTCCTCATTTCAGATTCACTTCCTCCAAGGAGAGCACCCTGATTGAGAACAAACAATAACATTTTCCAAGTCTCCCTCCCAGGACTCAGGCAGGGGGATGGGTGGCCCTTTCATACAAGTGTCTAAAATACCTATTCATGTGTCTCGTTTCAGTATTCAATGGCAGAGCTTCAGCCCCAGCTAAATTATTGGTTCTCCAATTGAGTCTAAGAAATAATCATGAAGCTTAAAAAGAATCATTCCCATTTTTTTAAGACAACTGTTTTTCTTTGGGGGAAATAATCCTGGAAATGTTATTATTTCTTCATGGTTTTTGTTTGTAATCCCAGTGGCTCAAGAGGATGAGGCAGGAGGATCACAAGTTCAAAACCATCCTCAGCAACTTAGTGATGCCCTGAGCAGCTTAATGAGACCCTGTTTCAAAATAAAAAGTATTAAGGCTGGGGTTGTAGTTCAATGGGTAAAGCACCCCTGAGTTCATCCTCAGTACCAAAAGAATTGGTTTGCAAACCCCTTAAAACTTATGAAAATGTAAACAAAACTTGCACTTTCAAGGCACCATTCTATCAAAGAGCTCAAAGCTTGCTAATAAAATTTAATTTTCTAGAACTAGGAACATAGGTGAAGGTTATTCTATAAGTTAATTAAACTTATTATATTACCCTTTAAAGAGATGGCACCATGAAACTGGTTCATCAGGAATTTAGCTTTTCTTTCTTTTTTTCCTCCTCAGAAAACTCTATCTATGACCCACTAGACCACCTTGTTCTATTATTTGGTTGAAATAAGTCATCACCTATTGCTATAACAAGAAAAAAGGAACAGCACATTTTACTTTGAATTCCAAATTCATGAACATGATGAATACATACTGCTGTTTGCATGAAGGGGCTGCCTCTGTGACCACTTCGCTTTGTAAAAGAGTGAAAAGGCATGAAATAAACCCCCCTCTGGGAAACCTGCATGCTCTGCATAGGTTCTTGTTGGCTTCAGGAGTCACCTAAGCTGCATGGGTTGGGAACCAAGCCTCAGTGACCCTAAGGACGGAACAAGGAAACAGGCAAGGTTCATCCCTTTAAGAGACTTGATCCCCCTTTCCGTCCTTTTGCCACTGATATTTATTTATGGATGGGAGGGTTTTCTCTGCCTTGGCCCTTACCAAACCAAGTTTGGGAATAGCAGCTCAGTTCCCAGCCCTGGTCCTAAGAACCTAGCTTTCCCTCTGTTGGATGCCAAAATCAACCATGCTGAACATCCATCACCCATGCATGTGTCTCTTTGTTCTGTTTCTTATTTGTACAAAATCAAAGGGAAATGCTTTTCACCAAGCCCTCTTGGTGCTGAAACATCTTAATATTAATCTATGAAGAAAACAACTAGAGGAACAAACCTTAATCTTGGTGTGTGTGGGGGGGTTAGGACCATAATGACCCCAGGTTACAATAAAAAGCCTCTGTGACACCTGAGGATTATTTTTATACAGACCATGGCAACTCTGAACAATAAATTATACACCCTGCAGTTTTCCCATCAAGGAGCTGCTTATGAAAGGAAATAAACCTTGCCATTACTAACCAGAGATACACATGTGATGATAGATACAGGATGTCCTTATGGCAGAAAATGAATCATGTACTTGTGTGTGCTCCCTAGAGGGCCTTACATGAATAAAAGTGGCTTTACACAATTATTTGAATAATGATAATTTAATGATTTTTTACACTAAAAAAGAATGAAAACCTAACTAGCATTTTCTGCTTAGATAGGAATGTAAAATTGAACAATTTAAAAAATGGAATTCATAGGCACAGATTTTAATGGGTTATTTCATGTCTTCTAAGGACATTTCTATAAGAGTAATCAAATTGTGTAAAATGGAGAAAAAGGGTTTATGTTCCAAGAAACCATTCCTCTTGGGCCATGACAGCTTTGAACAAAAATATTTTCACAAAATTTCATTTTAATCATCTTCTTTTACAAAGCACAATACTTAAGACTTTTCTAAATACAACTTTAGAAAATGAAGCAAAAAAATAATCTCCATAGATGCTTGGTTGAGTCCATGCTGAATGCAAAAGAATTTTTTTTTTCAAAAGTGATACTTTCAAGCTTTTCAATATTCTTGATGGGTCCATTTTGCCAAGAGTAAAGATGGTGGCTGTGGGGGCAGTGGCTCATCCAGTTCCATGATGCAGAATCCTCTTGCTCGTTAGCCCAAGGGGCAGTAATGAAGCTGGATATGCCAACTTCTCTTTCTACAATCGCTTCTCCCTCTCTTTATACAAAGGAAGCCAATGGCCTCTGTGAGGAGAATACATCAGCTCTCTACATTCCAAGTTGCTAGTGCCCCATGAGGGTGCCCCAACATCTCAATTTAATTACTAACATTCCTATTCTGTATACACATTATATAAAACTATATCATCAGGGATTTTCTTGATGAGTAAATGAAAAATTCAAACATTGAAGAACCCAATCCTCTTTCTTATATTAGGTGGTGGGGAATCTCTGAAGGCTTCAAGTTTAATGCAGAAAAGCTTAGAACAGTCAAGGGGTACAGGAATGTTTTACGCTGCCGTGAGAAACTTGGTGCTTCTGGCTGCGAGCACACTGAGACCAAGACTGCTAAAAAGGCAATATATCCAGACATGGGAATAAAGGGTGTGAGGTTTCTTTCTTTACACACTCCCTTTCCTTAACTGTGTCCCTTCCCGCTCAGGAAGACCAGGGCATTGGGGCTTTGTAAATACTGAGAGGAAAGTAATGGCCTCAATCAGAATGGATGAGTATCCAGGGAAGAGCAAGGCAAGGGAAGGGAGAGAGAAAGAGAAAGGAAGAGATATTTATGTGTTATACTTCCAATGATGAATAATGTGAGTTTTTGCATCATTCCTTCACTGTTATCAATTTGCATTTATCACGGCTATGTAAAATCTGTTAATGTTTCGTAGTTTCACTATAAAACTCAGGAATTAGGCAAAGCAGCTGCTTAGAAACACATCAAACATCTTTGGGGGCCATTAAGGGACCACATCCTCCATCTCTACCCCTGAACAATCGTGCAATGCAGTATGCCCCTTATTTTCAGCTAAGGATGAGAAAACAGTTACACATTCTAAGGCTGAACTGTTCATGTGCTACAAAGATAAAGCAGATAAGCAAACGTCACTTTCCTTAGGAAGGAAAAAGCAATTCCATAAATGCAAGAAAGATCCAATGGCTATACTTCAACAAGACCTTCCCTCCCATTCTCTTGGACTTGAGGAAGGGGTTACAAGTGAGCAAGGCAAATGACATTATGTGAATACAGTTTAAACAATAACACACACAGATAACCCAGTGCAGGAAATAATACAACTTCCCCCCCCTTGTTTTCATTTGCATTTTATTTTTATTTATTTTTGCTTTAATAATGCATATTCTGTTCACGCAAAAGGTGCAAAGGACAGGAAGCAGGGGTTTAACTTGGCTGATGAAAAATCAAGCAGGGATGACATTTCTAGTTTCATGAACAACCTAAAAGTAGGAGGAACTGAAAAAGTCACAGCTGGTACCACAGAGCCCAACTTCTCAGCTATCTCCTCTTAGGACCTTTGGCTAGGGTGAGAGAAGCTGTGAAGACAGTGGCCTCTAGTGGACTTAGATAAGTGGCAGATTTTTCTTTCTTTCTTACTTTTTTTTTTTTCTTTTTTTCTTTTTTTGAATCATGGTAGCTGCATCACAAAAGCTCCAATCAAGAGGGTGGTAAAAAGAAGGCACAGATCATTGCAAATACCAGATTTTCTCTCTCTCTCTTTTTTTTTTTTTGTAAATATACCATCATATATAAGCTAAAATTTCTCTTAGGGTGGCGGGGTCTGCTGGCAGGGGAAGGGATGGGTTGGATCTAAAATTGCATATGTAATAGAATCCTAAAGGGGAACACAAAGCGAGGCAGCTTTCACCTGAAGCCAAAGAATAAGACACTCGCTTCTGACTAGGTGTAGTACAAACACTAGGGGCATCAGTGACAAAACATGATTAAAAACTCATAAAATTATAAAGCTTGTAAACGAATAATCTGAAGTTACATTTTATTAATGGAAAATATCATCAAAATAGTACCACTATGGACTAAACTGCCTGAGTTTTCGTTTCGCATGAGATCTCAAGGTAGAAAAGCCTGTAGCACAATTTGCTCTAAGTCACAACCAGTGCCAGACCCAGGACTAAACCATGGGGAAGATTCTCCTCTTGGATGGAATTTGTGTTGTGCTATCAAGACTTTTGTGCTAATCTTTCAAACAGGGACATGTTGAGGCAAACCTTTAATCTTTTGGCACAAGATTATTTTGGCTGGGGCAGAAAATTTGAGTCTTGGACTCAGGATGAATAATGAGACATCTCAGTTATCAAGTATTCATTTTGATTGAAGAGCTTTCTTTATGTCATTCACTTCCATCTATAAAAGGAAAAAAGAATCAAACAAAATTATAATGAATTGGCTGCTTTCATAAAAGTTGAAGACAATCAACCTGCTCAGTGGAAAGAAAATAATCAACCTGAGAATTTCAAAGGTGAAATGATATCTGAATGAAGAATCAATGACAGTGCTAGAAATGACATAAGCCTTAATAACAGGTACACAGGCACAATGCACTAGGAACAAAGTAGATGTTTTAATTCTTAGGCTACTTGGATCCAAAGTTTGTCAAAAGCAGCAAGGATTCCAGTTTCCTGACACACTGGACCATCTTACGGTGTCAGAAGGCAGCTGTGATTGGCCCAAGGGGGTATGTGTAAGCACCTCCAAAGTAATGGTGAGTTTACCTATCCTTTCTTTGAATAGCATGTGTCTTCATCACTAAGGGCACCAACTAGATGAAAGTTGAGCATTGACCTTTGGTCAACTGGAATGCCCACATACTCTCCACCATTTGGTCATGGCATAGTTGAATCAGAGGCTAGAGGGGGACAGAGCTCAGATACCCTGGCAGGACTGATGCGACCACCAGAGAGAAGTAAAGAGATGAAGAAGAAGTGCCAAGTATGGCAAGTATGGACAGCTACTGTCTCTGAAGTCCCAGTGAACGTATGATGGAAGCCAGATGGCAACGGGGCCTCCCCAGCTCCATGTCCTCTGGCAGGTACTATGATGAAGTCTTCTGGAAACCAGAGGGAGTTTTTCAGAGAGGAGACATTTAAGATAAATTCCACATGAGAAGCCTCACTGGGGGTATGTTTACTGTTGTTTCCCTTCCCCAAGACCTTCTGGAGTCCAGGAAAGGTTGGGTAGTAAGACTATAAAATTCTAAGAAGATTGTCACAAAAAGTGCCTCTATATCTGCAGAAAAGTAACAATCATTTATTTTAAAAATAAGGCCCTGATGGACCCACCTGCAACCGAAGCCGGATTTTCTTCTCTTCATCCAACTCTGACAGTAACTGCTTAATCTCTCGTCTGAAAAGCAGACGGCAATGGAATTAAACAAAAGCCCAATAAGAGACAAGAAACATCTTATTATCATTAAATCCATTTGTTCCTTTTACAAAGAAAATGTGGACCAAACAGATTTTCTTTGCATTATTATTTTTTAAGATTTGTTTCAGACAGAAAGGCTTGACATTATTTTGGGGCCACCAAAATATACAGCCTTCCAATGGTAGGTCTAGAAATGATCTTTGAGATTCCTTAGTCCAACCTTCTCCCAAAAGGAGAAGATGGGGAAACCGAGGCCCAGAGTGCCTAGCCTGACTTGCCCAAAAAACAGACTCCAGGTATCCAGGCTCATATTCTGTCCTCTTCCCTCTAATTATTCCTTTTGTAACAGAATACTGGTCTTCAAATATAATTACAAAATACCACTCCATCTATACTTCCTTCATTTTCTACAGAGTTTTAAATGAATAAAAAGTAACTAGTATGTTTTCACCGAGTTTTACAAAATCCTACAAAGAGTAAGATTCAAAAACTTGGAGGTGAAATAACTGAATAAACAATGTGGCAAGCATGTTGGAAAGAAAGCAGACCTGAGTTAGGATACATGGCCTATACCTTTTCCAACCTTAAACAATGAAGTGGAACAAAACCAACCATCTTGCAAAGTCATGGCTCTATACATGGGATACTGCAACCATCCAAACACTGGTCTGAGAGCTATGTCCTTTTTAAGATATCAAACACTTAATTTTATATGTACATTTCCATGAGCTGGGTTGGAAACAGCACAGTAACAGTAGCAGTGATACTGCATCTGCTCATTTCAGGTAAATATCACAATGGTCACTGTACTTGGAACAGTACCCCAGCACGGCTGTAACACATTATCTGACATTAACCAGTTGTGACTCACTGCTGTACTTATTCAAGTACACATTATGTATCCATATCTCAGTGGGAACCACCTAGGGCTTAGGAAAGAAGTAGAAGGTGAGATCCTAAATGAATGGCCCAATCTTTGGAAGACCATGTCAGGCAAAGCTAAGTCTGGGTAGGGGAAGTTAGCTGGAGAAATTGGTCCAAAGAAAATGACTCAGCCTTAAATTAATAAAAGTGGGTCTAGAAGGAAAAAGGAAGATGGGGAGTTGATGAAGAAAAGCCAGGGAAGAGTATGGAAGGTGAGCTTGCCTCTGAACACAGAGCACATTTGGGGATGGGGAGAGGTGGCATAGACTTGAGGTGAATACTAAAAGCAAAGTGATACCAAGAGCTAAGCTAAGAAACTGGTGGGGACCCATGGCTCTAGGCATGAAGGACAGGCTATGGAAGGTTGTAGAAGGCTGCAAAAGGCAGGACTGGGAAGAGGGGCCATGGTGAGGTATTGATTCAAATGTTGGCTGGAGAAGGACCATTCTGGCTATTCACAAACTGCAAAGCATTTCAGCCATGTACATGGTAGCTCCCAGGCATCTCTTAGAGGGTACAATGGGCCAAAACCTCGGATACAGGAGAGTCTGACAACCAATGCTCTGGGATGTCTTGGGGCCATGGGGTCATTGCTAGGCAAGGGATACACATTGTCTGGACATGAATGGGGCTTTGGGTACCCAAACCTGTAACCTCCAGAGCCAGATAGGAGCTGGGGACTTTACGGAGTTAGGGACAGCCTGGCTGGTCTTAGGAGACTCTCTTAAGTACCAACCTGCCAGTTCTTGATATTTATTGGATGAGTCTCCACTGGGCAGGAAGTTAGTCCAAGAGGCCCCAATTTCAACTGACATTACCCAACCTAAGTGGAACAGAACCTACTTAAAGTCACATTGCTCAAAGTGAGGGCTTTTGCCAGCCCCAGACTCCCTCCGAAGGGTGTGATTTCAGGTGTCTGGCCACATTTGCCCATGCATTTCCTGATCACAAGGCAGCCAGGCACCAGGGGACACATTGGACTGACCCACTAGGCTGCAATGCATACTCACGAGTCTGCTGTTCCCTCTGCTAGAGTGCTATGCTCTTGGCAATCCTGGATCATCTTTTAAAATCCTACTTGGAAATGCTTCCTTGAGATGCCTGCCCCAATTCCCTCAAGAAAGAGCAAACTGATCTCTTCTGAGCCTCAGTTGCCTCAGATAAGTGCCCCCTATATCTAATCCTTCTACCAGCTTTGTCATTGCAAACAGCATCCTGGGTGATACTGATATATGACACTATTTTTGCTCACAGGTCTCTCTCCCCATCCAAGTTCTCCCTGAGGATGAGAGATGTGGCAAGAGAGTCTGTGTAGGCACACATGGAGAAAGTCCCCTCCATCTCATAGTAAAAAACATCTTGCTAAGTGAGAAGTCTCAGGTTTAATATTCCCTATATCCTCATATGTTATGGTTCCTCAAACAGGCAAACTACTTCATCTGGCAGCTAAGTGAAGAAGTTGCAATTTTTCTGATGCTAGAGGAAAAGCTGGCTGTTGGGCTTATTTAATAAGTGGTATATGTACTGCTATAGTTTGCATCTTGAATGTTTCTCAAAGGCCCATGAGTTAAAGGCTTGGTTACCAGCCTGTGGTACTACTGGGAGGTGGTGGAATCTTTTGGAGGTGGGGTCTAATGGAAGGAAGTTAGGTCATTGGGGGTATGCCCTTGAAGGAGATACTGGGACCCTGGCCAACTCCTGTCTTTTCTTTTGCTTCCTGGATGCCATGAGGTGAGCAGTTTCTTCCATTACATAATGTCATCATGTACTTCCTTGCCACAGGCCTGAAGGCAATGGGACCAAACAACCATGAACTGAAACCTTTGAAACTATGAGCTATAATAATTCTTTCCTCTTTCTTTTAAATTCTACTTTTTAAAATATTTTTTTAGATATTGATGGACCTTTATTTTTACTCATTTATTTATATGCAGGCTAAGAATCAAACCTAGTGCCTCACACATGCTAGGCAAGTGCTCTACCACTGAGCCACAACTTCAGCCCCAAGCCTTTCCTGTGTTAAGGCTGATTTTTCTCAGGTATTTTGTCACAGTGATAGAAAGCTGACTAACACAGAAATACTGTATTTTATAGGGGATTTCAAGAATTTTCTTTTTAGGAACCTGCTAAGGGTATCAGTCCTTGCCACAAACTCATTCTGTATACCCCATGGCCAGCCTATGCCCTGCCTACACACAGTAGACTGAACATAAAAACACACAGCATAATTTAAGTATAAATTAAGCCTCTTGGGGTTCATACACACTCCAACCACTGCTGCCATCATCAGGGGGAGATCTGGCTCACTCTTTGGGGCAGGATGGGACCCAGACTTTCAGACCCAGGTCCTGGCCTAGTGGAGGGCCATCTAGAAGCCATGTGCAAAGGGTCTCTGGGCACTCACTTCTGCTGGTCCTTCATGGTCTCAATGATGCTCCTTAGCTCGCGGACCTGTGTCCTTAGCTCCTCCACAGCCGCCTGGCTGCTGGCTACAGGCTCCATCTTTGGTTTTCCTTCTGTGCTGAACAGAGATGGGGAGTTGGCTCTGTGTCCAGCTGTTCCCAAAGAGGACGACAGTGGGGAGGATGCCACCGAGGACAGAGAGGCTGGTCCGCCGCCGCCTGCTGCCATGGTCCCTGGCTTGAGCGGCAGGGATGCCTTGTTGTCAGACACCTGTGATGAGGGAAGGTGAAGAGGCTTCAAAGAAAGGGATTTGTGAACTGCATCTCCTTGTTCTGGTGAGTCAGACCTTCCTTCAACATCCCTGTTCCCACTTCCTTCTGCATACTTCACTTGTTTATTCCTTCATCCAGAAGCCACTAAGGGCTGATTTGGTGCAGGCCTGTCCCCAACCTGAGTGGGGGAATATGATCTTCTTTATGGATAGATAGTTTCTTACTGGTTTCATATACAATATAGAGATATCCAATTGCTTTCCAGGTACCACAAACTTTGAAAGTGAGGAAGACATTCGCCTGAGAAACCAGTGGAGTGCAGACAGACAAACAAATCAGTACACTGCAGATGAGGGGAAAGACTGCACAAGAAAGAGGAAGCACAGAGAGGTCCAGAAATTCATTTAAGGGGCAACCATCCCAGAAGGAAAGCAGCAGGAAGGAGCAGATGACAGCCCCATATTGGAGGGGGCAGAAGAAAGAAGAGATGGTTGGAGAACGAAGATGTAGGAGGACGGAAGGTCCTAGAAAAGGCCTTTCTTGTCTACACACAAGAAAGCAAAATGCATTCATGCTTAGTAGGTCACAGGGTGCAGGAGAGAGCTAGGGAGAGAGAACAAAGCTGGGGAGGGAGAAGGTGCTGGCTGAAAGGGAGAAAATGACTGGAGCCTGCTAAAGATTGCTGTGGACACAGAAGGGCCCGAGGGATGGCAGGAGCTGGAGAGAACTGCTGGGAGACTCACACAATGGAAGCCAGGAATAGTAAAGGTCTGACCTGGATAGTAGCCAAAAAGAATAGACAGATGTGGTAAAGTCAAGCACATCTAACAAAGCACCTGGTATTGGGGTGGGTAGTAGGAGAGGCTGATGGAGTCCCAGTCCTCACAGAGGATATGCTCCTTGACCAGGGAGATGAGATACAGCCCAGAGGGTAAAAGAGGAAGTATGGATCAAGGGCCACGGGTGGGGAGGGAAGAACCAGGTATCAAGGTTGTATCTTTCATAGAAGGAAGAGCCCGTAGAAAGCCCAGATAATTATTTCTCTTTTAGACACATTGAATTTTAGGAGCCTGAGTGAGGGATGGCCACAAGGGGATGCGTCTGGTAGACACAGCCAGCAACTAAAAGACTGAGTTGGGGTAAAGGGAGTAGAAGCCATGGGGACAGATAAGAAGAGAAGAGGCCCAATGGTGAAACCTAGGGAATGCCCAGGGTGAACAGGCAAGGAGAGAAGGGGATGAAGCAAGACCAGTAGAGGGACCTGGATGATGGAAATCCCCCGGAGAAGTTTCTGGAAGGGGAAAAAATGGTTGAACAGTGCATAAAGAGTGCTGAGAGGAAAACAGGAGAGCCCATTTGGTAGTGCAAGGGAGACAGTAGCACAATGAAGGCAGATTAGCTTCTGAACGGGAGGCGAGAAGTTCTGGCCAGCAAGTTGAGGATTCTTCCCGGAAATGTGTTTGAGAAAGGAAGATAGGGTGGAGGGAGGAGGGCATAAACTTGTTCAGAAGCCTCAGGAGGAGACATGTTAAAGGAAAGGTTTTGCTTGTTTTCAGATATGGCTAAGACTATGAGCTGTGTGATATCTGGGGGAAAGAGTCAATGGAGGGTCAGGCTGAACATGGAGGAGAGAGGTGGGGGAAGCCTGATGGAAAAGTGTCCTGAGAAAGCCAGGAGGGCACAGGACCTGGTACAGTCTTGGGAAGGTGAGGAGAGGAGAGAGGCACCTGGAAGGTCCAGGGTGGAGACACTGGCAAAGGGAAGTGAGTTGGTAGGCAGGTGGGGAGGAAGCAAAGTAAAGGGATAGGATGTTGATAAGTGATAGAGCGGAAGCTGAGGCTGCTGGTGAAGCTTGGCACCATAGCCACGGGACTCCCTCCAACAGCAGGCACCCAGCCGGCCACCCCAGGTAATGTGCCAAGAAGGGGCTTGGCTGGCACAGCAGTGAGGACGTAGAGTCTGGATTCAGGCTGTGCTAGAGGCAGAGACTGGAAAGAGTGAGCCAAAGCAGATGGGCCATCATTCCCAGCCTCTCTGCTCGCCTTTTCTCTGCCAAGTTACCATTGAGGAAAAGCGCTCTCTGCTGCCAGGCAGAGTGATCCGCCAGCCCGTGCTTTGTTGTTAGTAGGAGTTATAGTACGAGGGAAGAGGAACTGACATTTATGGAGTGCTGATCACATGCCGGACGTCAGCTCTACAATTTACACAGGGATTAACTGGCACAAGCATTTCACCAAGCAGGAAACTGAGGTTTAGAGAGCTGGATGGGTAATTCCCCAAGTCTCACAGCTAATCACTGGCAGAACTGGGATTCAAGTCTGAAGATTTGTGCTCTCCTATTATTATTTTTTTGTTAACTACCTATTCTTGGGCTCATGCCTTCTCCCATTTCCCATCTTGCATCCTTTCGTACTTCTCACGACCTACCAATGCCCATTGACTTCAGATATTCTTGAATCAATGCTTCTTTTGGCATTTCCTGTATGACTGGCTCTCGTGGCCCATTTCAACTAACAAGTGTTTTTAAAGCTCTCACAGAGTATAGGTCACCACACTCCCTGATAAAATTAGTTCAAGTGGAATTTCTAGAAGCATTGAAAAATGCAACCTGACAACTCCAGGGAAGTGAAATAGGCTAATGGAACAGAATTGCAAATCAGAAACACAAAAAGCCATTATCCACCACTAGATGTCACTGTAGAGACACCCCAGGGATGTCAGAGAAAACCAGAAAAAAAAAAAAAAAGGGGGGGTCGGTGATGGTGGTGGGCTCTAAATCCAATTTCAGTAAATAGAATTCTTTATAAAGAAAGAATGCTTTGGTTTTGTGGATAGTCAAATTGATCTGTCTTATAGGATCATGTTTTGCTTACTGTAACAGATTTTAAGGAAAAAAATACATGTAAATTCTTAAATCTATGAAAAGTGGTTAAGTGCCTCTAGGTTCAATCCCTATACTCCCCCCCACCAAAAAAAAAAAAAAAAAAAAATCCATGAGAAGAAAAATCCCACATAATCTTTGACTTCTTGGGCTATTTCCTGCTTCAAAAGACTAGTTCTCTACTTTTAGACAGTAAGAGATTGCTAATGTTCTGAGAAAATAATCCCAAATGATTGTTTTTTTTTTTAAGTAACAGAAAAAGGAATTTTTAAATCTTGGTTCATATTCATAGGCAGAACAGAGATTGTATAGGATGCTTACTCTTCAAAAGTTGCATGGAGTAGCTAACAATGTCTTTTTGTGTGTGTGATTCTGGGGATGGAACCCTGAGCCTTGTGTATGCTAGGCAGATGCTCTACTAATGAGTTACACCCTCAGCTATCCCTCTTTTTTTGAGTCGAGGTCTTGCTATGTTGCCCAGGCTGGCCTCCAACTCTGAGGCTTAAGTGATCTTCCTGTCATAGCTTCCCAAGATCCTAATACTACAGGCACATACCACTGTGCCTAGCTATGTCATCTTCTTTATTTCTCACAAATAATTTACTGTCCTTACTAATCCCTGGGATCCCTGGGCATGCAATGCAATTAAAATATTTTAGATTATAAATGTATTCTAGAACATGAATCAAATCAGCTTTAAGAGGCCATATTATGGTTGGGTACAATGGTGCACGCCTGTAATCCCAGTGGCTTGAGAGGCCGAGACAGAAGGATCACGAGTTCAAAACCAGACTTAGAAAAAGTGAGGCACTAAGCAACTCAGTGAGACCTTGACTCTAAATAAAATACAAAATAGGGTTGGGGTTGTGGTTCAGTAGTCAAGTGCCCCTAAATTCAATCCCTGGTACAAAAAAAAGAGACCCTATATGAACTTCTAATTATAATTTTTGGCCAGCTCTGAACATAAAAGATAAGATCTGTGAGAAGAAGAACACAACATTTAATATTTACTGTAGTCTCTCTAGAAACATGAAGGCTTTTAAAGTTGTTTTGGTTGTAAGGGCATTTGTGATTGTGTGTGTATGACAATTTGAAGTTCTGCTATAAGAGAAAATGTAGTAAATAAATCGCTGAATTTGAGCTCACTGATTCTGCCCAGTTGGGACACTTTGGGCAACATGCCTCAGAGACTTTGATGACTATAGTAATCACTGTTACTAAAGAATGACAAACACCTGCAACTGTCTGTTTATCCTGCTTTGGTTTATAACCCATCGTTAGTGCATGCATGAAAGGGCAGGGACACCTCACCCTGGCTGGTCACTCACTTGGGATATGGTAACAGTCTTTGAAGTCTTCTTTGACACGTCTACTCCTCTGTGCGCAAGCGAAATGTGTTCCTCTTTATCTTCTTCGGGACTTGGGGAGTCAAAGATATCGGGGCTTGAAAGGGAGGACTGGATAAAGCCAAAAGAAAATGCTTTTGTCAGAATCATACCTTAGCTGACAGCTTTCGTTAATATGATGCTGTATGCTTTTCAAAGCACTTGACACTTCTATTTTCTCTGTCTCCCCACTAAAACCCTGTGAGGCAGAGAGTGCTAATATCTGTGTACAAGAGATAATAAGAGCTGATTATTGGCAGGTCTGAGACCAAGAAACAAGATTTCCTAAGCCAGGATCTCTACCCCAATGCCAATCAATCACTTCATCCACACAAGCAGCCATTGTCCATCTTTTCCTGCTCCCTCCTTTCTCCAAACATTTGCTACTATGTGTCCAGCACAGAGCTTGATACTGTAGACTTAATGGTGACATGGCATACACAATCCCTGCCCTCACAAGACTCTCAGCCTGGTGGGGAAGAACCCACAGTCAACAGAAGGCTGCCTCTCATGCTCCTCTCCTCCATCTTTTCTTATCCTTTTCCTCAACCCTTTATCAGGTTCACTAAATCTACTACACTGAAGTGCCCTAAAAGACTTATCTGAGAGGAGACCATTTCTAAAGGCAAGGGACCACCAGGCCTGTGGTCCTGAGTTATGGTTTGAAGGTGTCTCCCAAAAGCTCCTTTGTTAATACAGGAAGATTAGATACTGACTGGGTGGTTAACTGTAGGCAGATGGGCTGTGACTGGAGGAGGCAGGTTACTGGGGCATGCTCTGCAAGGGTGCATCTCCCTATAGTCCCTCTACTTCCTTTCTACCATGAGATGAACTTTCTTCTGCTGCCTTTCCACCATGATGCTCTTCTTCACCTTGGGCCTAGAACAATGAAGCCGGTCCACCATGGACTAAACCTCTAAAACCATGAGCCAAAATGAAGTTTCCCTCCTCTAAGTTGTTCTTATTGGGTTTGTCACAGTGATGAAAAACTGACTAACACATCCGGTGAGCAGAGTTTCTGCAGGCCTTGAGCACAGCCCTGCCTGCTAGCACAACAAGCCCATTTCTTCTTTGGTAGCTACAGCTAAATCTTTGCCCTCGTTACTGTCGCCAGTTGTTATCCATTTTGAAGTCTGTATTTACTAAAGTATGTTTACAGAATGGAGCATCTTTGGGTAAAATATGAGACGACATCCCCTGCCCTTTCTGCCTCATTGTGAGGATAACTGTGAAGATCAAAAAGCAGATGAATGGGGACCAATTCACCAGAATTCACTTGGTCAGAAATGATTCTTGAGCTAGAATTGGTCTATTTTAGAACAAAGCAAATGAAAATAAAAATTCCCATAGCAAGGAATTTTTTTAAATAAAGAATCTTCCAGAGATATCTTGGGGTGAGCTCATATTCAGCCTTATCCCTCTGCCTTCTATCCCTGTGGTAAAAAAATTCCTTTTCAGAATCACCATTTAAAGTCATTATAGAAAAATTATGCCTGTAAATATTGTTTGTTTTCTTCTGTTTACTTACTAAGGCAGAAACTTAATATATTTTAGGGAATTTTTAAGCAAAGTTTGTGCTTTAAGAGATCTTACTTGTTAATCTTCATTTAATCTGAAAATCCAATTACCTAAAATAACACCCCCAACCAAGCTTTCTTATTAATCTAGGCTTAACTGCTTAACTACCACACAATGCCTGGATCCTTTAATTTTGAGATTTTTATTCAAAAAGCCTGTTTCTTCCTATATAACCTGTGTTGCACAAGCTGCCAATCAAACCTTGCTCTTTGAATCCTATAAACATAAATAGCTTTAATTAGGATGAATGGCCGCAGGCTGGGGAATCATGACAGGCACATTTCCTCAATCATTCCCCTAGTGGCATTTTAGCAATATGTCCCTATCCACAGATTCCATTTTGCTATGGAAAACCCACAAGGGCTAACTGTAAGAAGAGTAAATAGGAATTCAATGTATACATCCAAATGGGGGCAGATGGGAATGAAGGGAAGAGAACATGGTCACTATAATTCATTAAAGCACAAATGTATTCTGTTGTCATAAGTCCATAAGCAGAATCACTCCCTATAAAATGTCAAGCTTTGAGTCACTGTGCTATAAGCTTTCTGCAGGTAGTAGCTGTGTAGTTCTCATTCCCAGTTAGATCCTTGGTATCTGGCACAGTATCTGGTCCACATGGGATAGATGTCTATAAACATCTGTTGCATGAATGAACAACTGTATAGTTCAAAAGTGGGAGGGATGAGATGCCTTAACTTTGTCCCAAAAGTACACACAACTCCCAGGCAGGGGATGCATGAACTGAGGTGAGGATGGTAATTAAAATCTGTTATTTAATTCTGGAAGCCACAGGGCTCTCTAGACCTTGAAAAGTTGGAGAGAAATTGGAAAGAAAATAAAAATGATGAAGGATTTATAGAGAAGGTGGAAGAGAGAGGACTGAGAAATTGAAATGGAAAGATGCTAAGAAGCAATGAAATAGACTGTGTGTACGTGCATGCTGAGGTGGGGTGTGAAGAGAGAGAAGGAAAGGAAGAGAGGAAAGAAGGCGGCATTGCCACAGAACTCTACAGAACAGTGAAAAAGGAAGCCGCTTGTTCAAGTCTTTCTCTCAAAAAGGTGTCAATGCAAAGTTAGGTTTGTTTCATACAAAGAGGACAAATAGGACGATTTAAACCACACTTACAGACTCAGTAGATATGAGAGAAGAGGCTCAAAGGAAGTGGCATTCTTTTTCTTCTAAATGGTGACAGCTTATGAGGGATTAGTGATGAGGTGAGAAGAGAAAGTGTCCTGGGAAACCTACGAAAGGTTAATTCCTTGGTGTATCTAGGTGGAGGTTATAAGACCTTAGAGCTGCAAGAACAAGGCAATGTGATAATTAGAGATAGATTAGACAGACAGACAGACAGATAGATAGATAGACAGATGACAGATTGAACGAACACACACACACACACATACACACACACACACACACACACACACACACACACATACTGCTTACGGAAGGTATTTTAAATCTTTGTGGAGGGGAAATTTACAAACTATGGCAAAAGCAAACTATGCATTTCCTTTTGACCCAATTTCACAAAATTTGTGCCTAATGAATAATTTGGGAGCAGCACCAAGATTATTCCACAGAACTGGAAACAACATACATATCCAGTAATAGTACACTGGTTTAACTGTCATATACTCACACATTAGAAGAGTAGGCAGCCATTAAATGTGTTGTTCTGGAAGAAGGGGCAATGATTGGGGAGAAAGGGGTGCAATTTAAGGTGGGGAAAGCAAGGTCCAAAACAATATATACTATATAATCTCCATTTTTGAAGAAATAATTTTATATACACAAAATAGAAATTTAAGAAAATAAGGATATATAGTAAGAGGTTAATAGTTTTTTGTTTTAGGGGAAGGATTACAAGTTTACTTTCTTTATAAATCATGTTCTTAAAAATCTGGTCTAAGTAACAGGTTTGCAATGAGAAGTTATTCCAAATGACTAAAACAAAAAAATTTCTGTGGGTTATCATGTGTGTTCTGATTGGTGTCTTCTACATAACCAGCTGCCTCATAAGTCTAAAAACAATTTTCTGAAGGTCCACATGCTATTCCATGGAAGGGTGAAGATGACAGAGCTTTGGGAGACAAAGGCTATTGCCTAGCACTGTAAAGCGGCAGGTCTTTATTTAGTAAATCTTTTGTCTTGTTTATGAACCACACCAGCCTCATTTTCCTTTTCCCACCATAAAACATGACATTTTTCTTACCAATTTCATTTCAGGTTCAAGCAAGAATCAGTCTAGAAGGAAAGAGAGGGAAGGTGGGAGGGAAGAGGGTATGCCACTTTGCTGGCAGAAACACAAAGAACAAATAGAAATATTGCTTGATTCAAGAAGACTTTTAAATCACATTTAGTTGGCAGTGTATCTCATGGCCTCCCTTTCCTCGGGTATCTCCAATCAGCCATTTGCAGAAGAGTCCTTGGCGAGAATCTCTAATGTTTCCTGCTTTTCAGCTGTAGAGAAGCAAGGAGACCTGAGGAGGAAACACTTACAGATGTGAGCGACTGGGATGGGGGCCGCCTCCCTGTAGCTTTTGGTCTGCTTGTGGTTGGGTGACTGAGTTTCTCAGTAGAGGATACCACGGAGTCAAAACCTTCTAGGTCTAAAACAAAAATAAAATCAATTGTTACAGGGAAAAACAGGAGTGAGAAAGGCTTTTACATTATGTCACAAGTACCTCTTTTCTTAATAATCATCCTTTCCATCTAGGTTATCCTTCATCTTTTACAAAGGCCATTTACATCCTTTGGCCATTCAATAAATATGATTCAAACTGAATGAAACAATCATTTCCTTCTTAGTTTCACAAGCTAGTAAGCAGGAGAAAGAAACATGATTTTTCTTTTTCCCTTCAATAACTACATCCATAAATCTTTAAAAAGCTACAAAAAGAAGATTAAAGGAGGAATTCTCTTTTTCCACAAATCCAAGTCCATTTTAGTGGATAAAAACATTCTTGCAGTCTCAACACAAAAGGCAGTTATCACAAGGTACAATAGCCACAGGCAAATGAATGCTGGTCATTGATTCCAAAAGACAAGAGGGGACAGGCTCCTCCTTTGCTTGATAATCAGTAGTCTGATTATCAGCTGTCACCTTGATGTTGGTCTGTAAACTCCTTAGAGAGAAAACCAAACTTCTACCTCTCCAAATAACTCACAGAGCCCAACCCCTTTCTGTTTTCAGAGTCATTATTATCTTCTGCAGTTGTCAGTCTGTTCATCCATTCTTCCCTTGTCATTGAGCAACTACTCTGTCACCCAGAGCAAAAGATCCTGAGGCTACACCAGTGAACATGGCAGAAATGGGCCCTGCCTTTGGAGAGCTTACATCCCAGTGACTGATGCTCAGAGAAACAGAAGATCATTCATGTGTCTAACACATGTCTGGAGGGAGGCCTTTGACTAGACTTTGCCAACCTCTTGAATGAATGATCATACCAATGGGTTACGCAGTTCTGTAGAGTTCTGGGGATCTACAAACCAAGTACAGATGTGTGTGGGATGCTCAGAGGAATGGCTAACAGAAAGGGACTGACCCTGAGCACCATTATTGCTGTTGACTAGGACAATACCATTTCTTTGCCACAAGTAGACTGTGTTTTAAATGCTATGGTATACATGACCTTCCCAAACCATTCCCCACTCTCCTTTCTAACACAGCCCCACTTTTGTTTTAGGACAATGTGCCCAGTCCTATGACTGGTCTAGAGACAGCTATGTAGCCCAATTTGGGTCACTGGGAAATAAAGGTAAGTCTACTGAGCTTCTAGGAAAGAGATTTCCTCTCTGTTTAGAAAGGGATGAGTGAGAAGAAGGTCTTTTGTGTTATATCCCTCTGCCTTCTGCCTTGGGAAGCTGTTGGGTGAGGAGAGGATGCCTGGAGTTATAGCAGCCAACTTGGGACCACAAGAAGAGGCATGGCCATGAGGGGAGATCTTGAAGATGGAAGAGTGGAAAAATGGAAAGAGCTTGGGTAACTGACAACCCCAGTGACCTGCCCACCAACCACGGAATGACCAAGTGCCTAGACTTCTTGTCATGTGATTTTAACAAACCCCTATTATTTTGGTGAATTTTTTCTCAGATATTCTGTATTTGCAGCTGAAAGTATCCTAACTGCCATAACTGCAAATATGCTGGCTCAGGGCAGAGAAGTTAAAAATAAAATTATGTGTGCCCCCCATATTTGGGGGAGAACTTTTTTGCTCATGGTTATAATAAATAGGCTGTGTGACAGCTTTACTCTATTAATGAATAGGCAGGTGTTAACTGCAAACTATTTCCTTTAGTGGACTATGCAAAACTAAGCATAAGGCAATGGTCAGGAGAAGCCATTAAAATATTCCTGGAATTATATTAAGTAACATTATTCTAGCACCTGGTGAATGAATAATAACTCAAATAATTATTCTTATCAGGGCAAGATAAAAATAATCAAAGGTTAACCATCTGCAAAGACAGTTTGAAGAAAATCATCAGTGGTACCTGGAGGCCAAGCAGAAGCCCATTAGTATTTAGCACCTAGGTGAGAGTCATAAAGGGACCCACTTCTCCAGCCAGCTCCATGGGGTGCCATGAAGATCTGGGTCAGGGGAGGAGCTGGCTCACTAGACTGGTCTCTTTCAGGGGCCTTCCCTTTAAATAATCTTATTTTCTTAACAGGTTCTTCTTCAGATTCTACCCTTACCTCTACCAACTCCCTGTTGTCTGAAATGGAAATTTCCCATTACACAGGTGGATTGATGCAAAAGGCCATTAACTGACATTAATATTCCTCAATCTTTCTATTTAGTTAGTTTTTTAATCAGTGCATTATAGTTATACATAATAGTGGGGTTTATTTTGACACAGTTATACATACATGGAATATAATTTGCTCCATTTCAACTCCTAGGACTTCTACCACGCCCCCCCCCGCCCCTTTCCTCTACTCTATTGAGCTTCCTTCTATTTATTTATTGGTTTGTTTTATTTTCACTTTTAGTGCATTATAATTATACATAATAGTGGAGTTCGTTTAAACATAGTATTGGTGCATTTAGATATACATAAAAGTAGAATTAATTGTGATATATTAATACAAGTACATAGTATAATTTGGTCAATTTCATTCCACAGTTCCTTCCCCTTTTCTATCCTTCCTCTCTTCCCCTCCCTCACTGTTTGAAATTAGTTTTTCTCTGATCACAAAAGTAATACATACTCAATACCTAATTTTTTTTTTAAAAAGAAGTGAAGTTGTTAACAACAAAAGAAGGTCAACTATAATCGTATCACATTGGGAAAACTACTGTTTTTTTAAAGTCCTATTCCTCTAGGACTTTATAAAATAGAGAGCATAGCTCATATCATATGTAATATTGCATTCTGCTTATTTCACTTACCCTTATATGCTATGTCTCTAAAAAATCTTCACAAATATTTTGATCATTGTAATAATCTATAGCAGTGCCACTCATCATTTATTTACTCAATGCTGCATCGTTGGATAATTAGTGTTCAAATCATTCCCCCTCTTATGTTTTGCTATTACGGAAAAATGCTGCACAAATATCCTTGCATGTACTCTATATACAATGAGTTTAGCAGGTTATCTATGAAGATCCCTGGCCGCTCTGGGGAAAAGGGAGTAAAGCCCAAGACAGGGTGGTTTGTTGGTGGGGGTGAAGGTGGTTGGGGAGGGCAGGTAGCACAATGGAAAGAGGAAGCCTGGGGCAGGGGAGTGGACAAGACTGAAGAGAAAGCCTGAGGAGCAGATGCTGAGCAGACAGACAGCAGAGGAGGTAGAAGAAAAGGCTGTATAAAAGTTCCAATGTGGGGCTGGGGATGTGGCTCAAGCGGTAGCGCGCTCGCCTGGCATGCGTGCGGCCTGGGTTCGATCCTCAGCACCACATACAAACAAAGATGTTGTGTCTGCCAATAACTAAAAAATAAAGAAATATTTAAAAAAAAAAAGTTCCAATGAATAGGTCATAGCCAAGAGCCTTGGCTGGGGGCTCTTGGGACTGAGCTGGACAAGCTAGATCATCACCCTATCCAAGAAACTAAAACAAGCTTTGGAGGCAAATACTGAGCAGGGTAAAGTGATTAAAGAACAATTAAAGATTAATTAACTGTTTCTCCATCTTGACTGCACAGCAGACTTACCTGGACAATTAAACACCCCACCTCCCCCCCACACACATACTCCTTGTCTTTGAATCCTATTCCTCGATTGATTCAACTAGTCTGGTGAACAGCCTGGGAATGGATAGGTTTACATTTCCCCAGGTGATACGAACCATAGCAAAGTGTGAAAAGCACTGCTGTAGCAGAGGTGGAGGTTTAGAGGAGGAAGGGACAAGGAAGGATTTGACCAAGTGGAGGTATGGAGAGGGGAGGCCACCAGGTGAATGGTGGAACATTCTAGGGTGTTCCCAGTGAGTGAAGAGCCTGCTGGGAAAAATTGTAGGGGGTAATCTCATCATTATGATGGGTCTTCCAATGTCAGGCTGAGGAGTGCTGGCCTGATTTGAGGGGTGACATAGTTCCTGGAGCACTGGATGAAAGTGGTGGCTAAAAGCTCAGGTGATTGGCAACAGGTTAGGCACACGGCAGCTGGAGAGAGGAGTAGACCCAGCAAGCAGAATAGCATGGGACAAGGACATTAGAGTGAGGGGAACAGATGGGACAGTCTTAGGCCCACCTTGGGTTGGGCTTGGCATGAACACTGGCACATAGGGATGGCCAAGTTCACATCAGGAAACTTTTGCTTCAACTCTATGGAGGACAGCCTCTTCACTCCCCACCCACCCTTCTCATCCTACTCAAATAATTAAGTCCACCTGGGAGCTTAGGGTTTGACAATGTTTGAGGTGGCATTCTATAATAAATTATGCTTCCAGAATGACTCAGAGGCATGGTGTCTATCACCCACACTTAAGCTGTGAGCCCCAGGAGGACAGGAACTTATCTTTGCATTCTCAAAGTCTAGCTCATTCCTGAGGGGAAAAACACCCGGATATTCTGTTATGAAGGAATGAAAGAATCAATGAACAAACCATCTCAGGGAAAGCTCTTAGTCTAGGAGTATAGCTTAGAGAGGTGGCTCCCAGTGGGACATGAGGCAGCAGTGCCAGGGCAGAAGGCAGCAAGCATTCTGTGCCACATCTCCAGGGAAAGCTTGGCTGCCCATTTCACTTTATTGGCTAAGGTCTGCACTAAATAGACCCATGCATGTTGGCACCTGGCCACACTTAGCAAGCATCTCCAAGACAGATGGCTGAGATGACTGCCTCATTTCTGTCATTGAGAGTAAGAGGAGGGTCAGACTCCCCCAGGAGGAGCCTCTCTTAGCCTCTTAATGAACATTTCTACCAAGTTTAACTTTCTACATTTTTAGCTTTAAAGAGCACTTTTTTTTTTGAAACAAGAACCAAACTGAACTGCCATAAAGACAAAGATGTGGGCTGTGGATGTCACTCAGTGGTAGAATTTGCCTGGCATGCATGAGGCTTTGGGTTTGATCCCCAGCCCCACAACAAAATAAAACAAGACAAAAAATCATGCACCGCATATGAGGTCACTTGCTGAAAAAGGAACCTCATGTTATACTTCCACA